CACACTGGTTAATTTACTTTACTTTCCCTGTTATATCTTTAGGTCGTCTTTGATTTTTTTTCAGTGGTAGCCGTGTTAGTCTGTATCAGCAAAAAGAACGAGTACTTGTGACACCTTAGAGACTAACAAATTTATGCTCAAATAAATTTGTTAGTCTCTAAAGTGCCACAAGTACTCTCTGTTTTTTTATTTTTTTGTTGATTTTTCTCTTCCCCCCCCCCCCCCCCCTTTTTAAAAAAAAAACAGCATTTTTCAATTAGAGCAGTGAATACGGTTTGGTATGGGATTGTTAAAGGAACTTGATTAAACTTCAGAAACAGTCTGGGGAGGGGAAACTTGTGCAACGCTTACTGTGCTTTGGTTCATGATCCTGCATCTGAGTCATAAATTACCACCTATGGGTGGTGGTAGGTTTTTTTTTTTTTGGTTGGTTTTTTTTTTTTTTTTTTGGACTTTAGCCAAACTTCCTCTGTTTTTTGGCGTTCATTCAGGAATTCAGGTTTTCCACTTGACAGAATTAGCACCCTCCTGTGCCCAGCGAGTCTTAGAGAGGGTCAAAGTAACCATTGTTTTATAACAGGCGAAGGGCTAGCTGAATTCTAGATGCTTTTGCAGTAAGCAGGGGAAGTTTTGACATGCTTTGTAACTAGATGCTTAAGCCCTTTTTTCTTTACCTTTGGATTCGACTGAGCATGGTGCAAAGTGTTGGCTTATATAATAGAGGCATGTTTTATGGTATCATTAAAGGCTTATTGCCTAATCCTTTTTTTTTTTTTTTTTTTTTAAATTAGGTAGGCTGTTCCCAGTGTCACTGCTTTAGAGCATATGACGACACATGGCCAGGGAGGAAGCATAGTCTTGTGGTTAAGGCACTTGAGAGATCTGGATTTAATTCCTGGCTCTGCTGCGGACTCCCGGCCTGGCCTTACGCAAGGCATTTAGTTTTTTCCTGCTCTGGTTCCCTATCAGTAAAATGGGGCTGACACTTCCCTGTCTCCTGAGGTGATGAGGACAAACACTTCAATGATTATGAGACATTTGGATTCTGCAGCAGTAGGGGCTATAGATATACTTAGATACACCCATCTTCTCTATGGTGTGCAGAAAGGAGAACGTTATGGAAGGACAATGACTAAAACCGCAAGCTGTAAATTAGCCTCTGTCCATTAACAAATGTATGTTGTGGTGGTTGTTTTTTGTTTTTTTTTCTAGGGGGGATTGCTGCAAATAAAACAGGCAGGGAACTAGCTTCCTGTGCCTTGTACCTTTCTTTAATCGGTAGTTCTGTCTAAGTGGGCTTTACTGTACAGGGTTGGCAAAAAACAGATTTACAGCCTGTAATTCTATTTGGGTATTATATGAGTAAGCAGGCACATGGGTGGCTCATGCAGTCTAACACTTAGCACCTAGATGTAATAGCAGGCCAGGAGATTCATTTAAATTGCTACATAACCCCTGATACTGCTCTTGATGGCCCTGGCCAGTAGAATTGAAGGAGTGTTCTTTAGTGGTTAGAGTAGGGGACTGAGAATTGGGATGCCTGGGTTTTCCTCCCCACTCAGTTGCTTTGACAGCGTGGACAATTTACATTGTGTCATCTGTGAGGTAGGTAAACGGATGAGGTTGGTAAACGGATGTTCTCAGGTATTAGTAATGGTGTGTAAAGCATTCACGTCCAGGAGTAAAACGTGGCAAAGGAGTGCTTAGTGGCTGAAAATGTCTACGCTAATAGCTGCTTTTTCTGGATGTAATGGATACAGTAGATGGAAGCTTTTTTAATAATCATTTTCTGCTTATCACTGGCTTCTAGGCTGTTAATACCTATGCATTTTGAGCAGGAAAGCTTTGACCTCTTGATTTGCAGTGCTATGAGCATCTTGTAAGTACACTTTCAATGCATTCTGCTTTAGGTACAATAGAAACCCTTCTACTTTCAGACTAATACTACAACTTCGTCTTTACTCTGACCTTATGAACCATTCCCTGACAATGAGTGCCGCTCTTAGGCCTCAGTTTAGTCTCGCCTGTAAAACAGCTGTGTTTTAAAACAGTGAATTCAAAGATGGATGCAATATTGTTACACTTCTGTGTCAGTCGTAGATATTGTCTTGGTACTGTAAAGTACCAGTATCCTATTTCTTAAAGCAGGTATTCTCTAAGGCCCTGAGCTTGCAAACACGCATATGAGGTAGGCTGTGTCTATACTGCCAGCGCTACAACACAGCTAAGCTGCTGTAGTGTAGGTGATTGCTACAGTGACTGAGGGGTTTTTTCCATCACTATAGTCAATCTGCCCCTTCGAGAAGCAGTAGCTAGGTTGATAGAAGAATTCTTCCGTCTATCGACCTAGAGGTATCTATTCTGGGGCTTAGGATGGCTTTACTATGTCTCTTGAGGGTGAATTTTTCATGCCCCTGACCTACATAGTTGGCTGACCTAAGTTTTAGGTGCAGATCAGGCCCAGCTTTGTGCAAGTGAGCTGTTCCATATTTGGAGGGAGGTTAAAATGAGTACAGCAGTGCCCACATCAGGGTATGTCTTAGGCAGTCTTTGTAAAACAGAAGATGTAGTATTAGTCTGTGACGGTTCTGTGCTGTCTGATTGTGTCTCATGCAGAATGCACTAAAATACTTTTCAGATCCTTACATCTACCAAAGCAAGTTATAAACTTACTTGGTATTATAGTGGAGGCTGTTAGCCCTTTTCTGACCTTTTAATGGTTATCTTCTGTGTCTGAGAGCTGAGCTGGACAAAGGTGGGGTAATATAAAAGGGATTAATTTTGTAACACCTTTTCAAAGTTTTATTCATAGTTACTCGGGCTTTGTCTACACTACACAGCTTTTAGCGACACGGCCATGTCGCTAAAAGTCGGGCAGTGTAAACGCTGTTGGTTGGCACTTTTGCCAACAAAATACTTCCACCCCCTGTGAGCGGGGTTTGCGTTGTCCATAGGAGAACGCTCCTACCGACAATGAGCCCTTTACACTGCCACTTGCCACGACAAAACTTTTGTCTTTCAGGGGGCGGGGGGAGAGCTTTTTTTTAAACACCCATGAACGACAATGTCGTTCAATTGGCAGTGTAGACAAAGCCTCAGATACTAAAGCGTTTGCAGAGCTGAGGCCCTAAAGTCTTGGGGATGTGTGAGAGAAGGTGTTCTGTTTTTCCAAAAGCTTAAATAATGACTTCATTGAGTTGCCAAGCACGTACCCTATAGCTATAATACTTTCCATGGAGTGTTCTGAATCAAAGGCATTCAACATCCAGATCCCGTGTCCTCTGGTCAAAACAGACACTGGTATCTTGTCCTATTAAACCGTCTGTCAGGGGAAAGCAGCAGCACTGGAAAACTCTGCTAGTGAGATTAAGGAGATATGAAGTCTGCTGTCTAATGTTAGAAATGTGGGTAAACTTCCCATTGAACTTCTGTGGAACCTTCTTAAGTGGTCAAAATATGGATCCTGTAGGACCACAGTTCTGTCTTCTGGCGGGGCTGTGTAGCACTGCTTACCAGTCACTTCTCATCTAGATAAACTAGGCTTCTCTAGAGATCTGCTTTTCTTGCTTACAAAATGGAAAGCCTCTTTGCTCTTCTTCCATGTGGCCTCACCTTTTGACAACATTCTCAAATTACATTTATTGGGGGGCTGACAAAAATGTGGCTGTGTTTTAGAGGCCTGGAATGTTAGACTTGTCACTAATTACAAAGCGCTCTGCGCTGCTGTAGGTGGCAGTTGAGGTTGAAATAATTCTGTGAGCATTTCTGTACGAGAGTCCTCACCTTGCAGAAGAGGAGAGAAAATATGGAAGTTTTTGCAGATTCTGGTAAGCAGGCAATACGATATGTTAACACACCCACTAATAGATTGCTTAAAGAGTTGCACAAACTCTGCACGTTCTCCCTGTTTCCCCCCACCCTGTTGGAGAATTTACTTTTCAGTAATTTCTGCTACACGTGACTCTCTAGATCAGTTTTAATTGCCTTGATAAACAGCATCTGCCAGGAAATGACCAAATAATCCCTAAAACCAGGCTGAGAAGTGGAATGAGGAAATGGTGTATGGGTTATAACAGGAACAAATTAAAGGCTCAATCCTTCATGCCTTGCTCAACCCGAACTCCCTTAGTGAGGAAATTGGAAAACTTGCTGTCTCCTAACTCACCCCATTTGTATGTTCATGCTTTGAATATATGACCACTGAATTATAACCTCCTGAACTAGTCATGCTGAGCATATTTTAAACACTGGATTGTCACTATGGAGTCTTGGACGTAATGCAATATAGTCTAGCTGGCCTAATAGCGTTAATATGTTCCATTGTCCTAGAACTTCGGAAGAGACTGGTTCCTGGGCTCTGTGCCAATGGAGGTGCACTTTTCTTTTGTAAAAGAGCCCCAAGGGCTTAGGCTCTAGCAGCCCCTGCTGGCACGATGCTGGAATATCTGCAGCATTGGTATGCATTGCACAAACTATTTCTTGGGTGCTCTTCATCAGAAGAAATCTGCTGCCTGCTTGAGTTCCCTACCACACAGGGAAGGAAAGGTGGAGATGGGGAAGCTGTGTGTCTGTTACCCTTGGGGATTGCAGTTCTTTAACAAGCTGCAGCTGCTAAGGACTTAACAGAGAAGTCCTTGTCTGGAGGTTAGTATAAGCAAAGGCATCATGGTGTTTTCTGGAATTTTTAAATGTCTGTGATGGATTGTGTGATGCAAACTGGAGCGTGTGCTTCTGAGTTTCTAAACTGGGCTTCACAGCTTCAGTACGGCACCGAGCACATCTTTGGCACTTGCTGAATGTTTTAGATTTTTTCTGTACTGCAGGCTAAGGATTAATATGGCACAATCTGGAGATGTCAGAGCTCCGCAGAACAGAATTATTCACGTCTCTAATCAGGGAAGCGCACATTGGCTCACAGGGGCTTTGGAGCGCTTTAGCACGATTGGCACACCTTCTTCTTTTGAAGACCGCTAATTAAAGTCCTCTTCCTCTTCTTACAGACCCGAATGCAGAGTTTGCAGCCAGATCCCAAAGCCCAGTACAAGAGCGTGTATCAGGCCCTGAAGAAGATTATTCACACTGAAGGCTTCTGGAGGCCTTTACGAGGAATTAACGTCACCATGCTGGGGGCTGGCCCTGCCCATGCAATGTATTTTGCCTGCTATGAAAAAATGAAAAGGACTTTAAGTGACATTATTCACCATGGAGGAAATAGCCACCTGGCCAATGGTATTTTGCAACTGTTTGCAATTAATAGCCTGTCTCTTGCCTGCTTCCTGCTTTTACAGTGGCCTGGCATCCTTGTGTCTACTCTGGTGCTTTGGGAAGAACTTGACACTGGCTTTGATTTGTTGCATTCAGCCTGGTCTCGCACAGACACTTGAAGTGTACATGTATTTGGGGGCGGTGGAGAAATATGAGATGCAAAACCTACTTCCAAGTTTCCAAGTGCTCAGCAGCCAGCAGGTTCCATTAGGACACTTACAGCCAGGCATCCAAAAGTGCTCTGCATCCACCGTGCCAAGCTCTTCTCAAAAAGCTGGCCCCTTCCTTTGGTGCTTTATGTAGTCACTGGCCTGCTCAGAAAATCCAGCCTCTAGAGAACGTTAACTGGCACTGCGGGACTTTGCTGTGTTAGGGCTCACCAAACATAATGCTCAAGAATTGCAACATAGGGTATATCTGCACAGCAGCTGGAAGGTGCGATTCCCAGCTCAGGTAGACATTACACATGCTAACTCTGAGCTAGTGCACCAAAAATAGTAGTGTGGTAGCAGTGGCATGGACAGCGACTCAGGCTAGTCACCTGAATAGAACCCCATCCAAGGCTCTAGTGCCTACTTGCTCGGCTAGCCCCAATCGCCACCTGTGCCATCACAGCCCTACACAATTTGTAGTGCGCTAGCTGGAGCGGCACCGGCACGTCTATGTATACCTGAGCTCGGAATTACATCTCCCAGCTGTTTAGATGTTCCCATAGAGAACAGATTGGCTTTGAAGCAAGTTTTCCTGTTGTAGGCTTCCACTGTGAGTGGGTTTCATCTTTCTCCTACTGGGTAGGAGAATCAGAAATAGCTTATTAGAAGTTCTATGGGGAGCGGCTTCTTAAAAGGGGATGCTGGTATATATAGATGGTTTTTTAAAATACATTTTATATATATACATACACACGCACACAGCCCAGTTGCACTATTCAGAACATAATAGTTTCCCTTTTTAATGCACAGCAGCTTACTTGGTCAGACAGTGTCTCTGGCAGAGGTACTGCTGGCCACCAGAATGTCGTCTTCCTTCTACCAAAAATAATTTCTGCCACACTGCAAACCATGGGAAGAACGCTCTGTCTCAATCAGAAGTTACAGACTGGATGCAGGAATCCCTTGGTGAAACCCTGTGGCCTGTTACGCGGGTCAGACTAGAGGACCATGATAGTACCTCCTGGCCTTAACCTGTGAGAGATTGAGTCCCAACCTATTGTCATAGCATGTAATTAATTTTGAGATGGTCTTAAAACTGAACGCTATATCGAACGTTATATTTCCAGATGGACCAAGGTTCACTGATGACGGATGCTTCTAACACTTAAATATCCAATACAGTAGCAGCATGGTGAATGCCTTTGCATTTTAAAAAAATCAGGGCTTTATTCTTACTGTGCTGACGTAGGGTTTCTTGGGTTTCCATGCAGTACTCAAAGCAGTGATTGATTGCCAGTTGCATCTGTCTGTCATTTCTGTTTAAACTTCATGCAGCAGAGCAGATCTACACTAGATCTTTTATTAAATTGCTTGATAAAAGGCCTTCTCTAAACAGAGGGTTTTGCCAATTTAGCTATATTAACAAAACCATCTAGTTTGGACACTTTTGTTAGTATAAAAATGCTTATACCAGAATAGCTTATGCAGGTTCCTGTGACCATCATAAACTGTACTGGTATAGCTGTGTCCACACTAGAGGGTTCTATTGGCATACTTATGTTGATTAGGAGTGTTGTTTTTTTCCCCACACCCTTAAGACATTACTATGCCATTAACACTTAAGTATAGGTCAGGACTTAATGTTTTTTGCTTAACTACTCCTTTAAAGTCATGTGCTCTTATTTCCTACATTTATTTGCCAAAATTGTACAAGTTTTCAGTAGCAACAGTGGAAATTTAAGTTAAATATTGAGGACAAGGAGAACTGACTAGAAAAGCCATTCAGGCAATGGAGGAATTTGTCTCGGGGAGGCTCTGGAAATCTAGCTAGGCTTGAAGTGAAGCTCATCTACCAGTGCTAATTAAGGAATCTGTAAGGCCTTAAATACACTAGAGATTACATTAAACTAAGTTAACTTTAAAAATCAATCTAGGTAAGTTGATGCAAACTCCCGGTTAAAAACACATTTAAACCAGTGTTAACCTTGCTTATATCAGTGTAGCTTGGATATTTTTACACTGCTCTAGTTAAACTGGTGCAGTTTGGTAGCATAGGCGAAGCCTGCATCCATTCTGTCATAGGGAAACAGGATCGACTACGTGACTTATCATATTGACCCAACTCCAGTGGCCTGCACATTAAGTTGTAGCGGATGTCCTTTCCAGCCCATTCTACGGATGGATTTTCTCACACTTCCATGAAGAGCTCAGGACTGTTAATTTGAGAATATACTGTGGGAGCTGAGGCTGTTGCATAACTTTATACACTGCCTGTCTAGAATTGTGACTTAACACTGGTCTAGGTTAACCTACAGAAGCTGTCCAGAATTGTATTGTGAAGGGAACTCTTCTGTTTTGCAGGGATAGCCGGGAGCATGGCCACATTGCTCCATGATGCAGTAATGAATCCGGCTGAAGGTAATGTCCTTTACTGTATGTGGAAATGGAGTTGAATTGGGGGAAGAAAGTAAGTTGCTTGGAAACGCACCAGTTGAGTAGTGTGTAACAACTACTTTTTTTTCACTGGCTGTGGGCTAAGGGCCACGGTAAGCTTGTGCAAAGAAACTGGTCACTTCAGTTGAAATTGATGGAACTTCTCAGTTGTGTGGATTCTTTTTCTCTTCACTTATACTGAGGAATAAAATAGATCCTCCATTTGACTGTTGACATTTTTATCCGCTTCTCTAAGCCAACTATTGCAGAGCAAAACATTCTGAATGCCCTTTTGGCTCTTGTTGTTGTTGTGGGTTTTTTTGTTTGTTTGTTTTTTAAGCCTCCCTAAATCTATAGCCTCTATTTATTTAAAAAACCAACTGTGTAGCCAGAGATCAGAAAAATAAAAACCAATGTGTCCTGCAAATATGTCATCCAGGCTTAGGTGGAAATTCTGCCCTTGAGCAGCATTCATTGGGTTAGCTGGGTTGGTACCATTCTGAAGGCAGAATATCATCTTGGGGAAATTCTAAGAAAGTTATTGGTAATTATTCATTCTCTAAGCAAGGTACTTGATATTTAAAGCCCTCATGCTATGGTGCTGAGCACACACACACACACACACACACACACACACACACACACACACACAC